TATGGCGGCGGGCTAGAAAGAGGCCGCGATTTCAATGTTGTTTCGAGGTGGCGCCAGTTACGTTGGCGCTCTCGCTTGGCCACCTCGTTCGCGATTAATCCGTGAAATCGTGAAAGCTTATGGCTTATGGCTTTCCATCCTCCGCGGGTCCAATTCGCAAAAGTAAATCGTAAGTAAGGCTATGATTATTCCAGGTATATCGTTATTCCAGTTTGATGTAATATCCAAAGCGTTAATAAATGTGTGCCTTGCACGGGATACTCGATCGACGTTCCGATTGTTTATGCTCCGTTTCGCCTAATTGCGCCTTAGGAAACCGGAATACCGTTACTTGCATATACGTAAGCGCGACAGGATCGAAATGGAGAAGGAAAAATGAAACGGTTTCACCGCACGCGAAGGACGTCTACTATTGCCATTTTCTCTGAACCTGCTATTTACTTTGTCGAAGACATTCGATGTTTCTAGAGGAATTGGTTTTAATATTGCAATTTCTGTTTCAGAGTGGAAATCGTATTTTTTACATTGGACGGTATTGAAGAGTAGATTCATTAGGGATGAGCACATAAATTTCGTGTAAGAAACATTCAATATTAAAGCTTCGAATTAGCTCGAGTTCTTTTCAAGAATCTTTTACTCGAATGACGTCCAACCTGCGAATCCTTTTTTAAAAGAATTACCTTTCATCTCGATCAAATCACTTCCTTAAATATTCGTTAAGTAATCTATCAGAATATCGATATGTAGAAACACTACTCAAGAAGCGAATTATCAAGTATTTCGAATCTCGTCAAGCATCATCGTGCACTCTCATCCATCCTCGTCTCGAAGAGGAGGCGGTGGTCAAGAAAAGAATGCACGCACTGTTCGCAACGGGAAGGTCAGTTCGTCGCGCACGTATGGGCGATCACGCGAGGCGATCGCCACGCGCGTGCATCTGTATGCGTGACGCGTGACGAGTCGCAGGCTCGTGCATAAGGGGGAAGGAACGGTTCATTCGTACAATACGAATGAATGGGCAGTGTACGACACGACATCCGGTCGGAAGGACGGCCCGCGGGAGGGAAGGAAGCGGGCGCAAGAACGTCCCGTCTGGCGCGTTCGTTTTCCACGATCGGCTATTTCAAGAGTGGCTGATGCACACGGTACCAAAGGCGGCGCCGGCGACGGGGGTCGGAGAGGGAAACGAGCGTCGTAAAACTTTACGAGCGGCTCTAAAAGAAAGATCGCCGGCCGCGGGACGAGCAGGCATCCCATCTCCAGTTCCAGAGGCCCGGGCTTCGAGCCCCGATAAGCGGTGTTTTCCGCGTTTCGATCGCGCCGATACACCTGATTTGCGATAGCGGAAGGGATGCTGCCCAAGGTCCAGTTTACTCGCAACCAGTATGCTCTTTTTATCGATTTTATTTCTTATCTTCTGGCCACGGTTCGGATGTGCGAATTATCCTATCGAGTTGTGAATTATTGCGATTGTGATTCGAAAGTTTTCGAATCTGAAAGTAAAGACACTTTTTTCTTTCTTGAATTGAAATGATCAGGGAATTTAGTTTCTTATCGAGGTGTTGCTGCTTAGTAGGGTTTTCGATAGATAATGAATAATAATTCGAAGGTGTTTTTTTTATTTTTATTTGAATTAGTGATTTTGTCAGAAGATTTAATTATTTAGTATTTTGGGATCAATATTTTTTTATAACTAAATTTTATTTGATAATTGCGAAGAATTACACAGTTTTTCAATCAAGGGAATTGAATTTGATAGATTTATTATGAAAGCATTATAGAAAGTGAAGAATTGTTAATTGTATTTTAACAAGTTGAAAAACATATTTTTTTCTAATTTTTATCTATTTCGCTTATCTTAATTTTATTTAATTTTGTACCGCGTTTCGTAACATAGAAAGTCAATAATAATTTTAGCATTCGTAACTTTTTATACGCTGTCGCAATGAAATTCAATTTTTATTAATCTCTAATCTAATTATCATCTCTTAATACTTTCCATAAAGAAAATTTTTTTAAAAAAATTAACAAATTTTTAGTATCTCGGAAATAAATTTTCACATTTTTTTTTTCTCTCTCTTCTTTCTTTTAATTTCTAGTAAAATAAAAAATCAATCGATCAATTGTCAATGCCAAGGCTAACTGGCCCGTTTACCCTAAATACCACGATTATATTGAAATCGTTTCTAGGTCTTGATTTCCTCCCTTCTTTTAACAATAACACCCCCCTCTCACCCCTGTTTCACCGTTTTATCGACCTACTTTTCCACGCGCGCACAACCCTTTTGAATTTGACGATCGTTCCAAGTCGAAGTGTATTTAGTTTCTAGGAATAGCAACAGAAATAGGGGAGAGAGGAAGACGCAGTTTTTCCAGGTAAGAAGGTTAGTGAAACCTAGTGGACGGGGGAAAAGAGTGGAAAAAAATTTCAAGAGGGCCTCTCTCGTTCTAACTTATTACAACGCACGAAGGAGTTTCGGTTTCGAGGGTTCTTCCGACGAGAATTCTGTGTGTAAGTTTCACGAGTTTGTCGAGGGTAGTAATACTAGTAATAATAATAATATTAATAATAATAATAATAATAATAACAATGATAATAATAATAATAAAAATAGCTCGATAATAGCTTGACAACACGTTGATAAAAAGAGAGGGGAAGGAAGAACGAAACGGGCGACTTTTACGGCTCCTCCCTCGCGAAATTCATCTCCGCGCAATTTTTTTCGATCGAGTTTCGCATCGTTAGCGGGAAATTTTATTTCCATCGTGCTCCCCGACCGAGACCGGGACACGCGAGAAATAAAGTAAGGGGGTGGAAACTTTTTCGCGATTCTCGAGTTAAAAGGGGTGACTAAGGGGAGGAGGGGAGGGGAGTGCGATTTTCTTCTGAATCTCGAGCTGTCCCTCCTCCTTCGCGAGCAGCACCCCGATAAAAAGTAATTAAGAGCGAACATTATTATATTTCATACGAGGTCGCTATTTGTAGAAATGAAACGAAAAAACGTCATCCGCGGTTTTTTCGCGGCCGAATTTCGACGATGAATTTCAGCATGGCTCTCTGTTGAAGGGGGGAGCGAATAAACGAGGATAATAAAAAAAGAAAGAGATGGGGAGGAAGAACAAAAAATATTGCCATGGAATGATAAAAAGGTATCCAAACGGTTTCGGGTTTCGCCTCTATAACCGAAAACTTCGTTGAAAATTCTACTCGTTCGATGACGAAGTAGCGATGGAATCGAACCTATCGCGAGTAGACTTGAACATTAAGATTTTTTTATAAGTATCTTGAATTATTTTCAAACGAAAAAGATATTTCAAAAGTATCTTCTAAAAATTCTATTTAAATAATAATAATACGTGTGATATTCGTAAATTTGTCGTAAGAAAATTCGAATATAATATCTGAATATTATTTTCCAATAAATAATATATAAAACTTTTCCAGGATTGAATTTTATGATCCCATCGATACAACTGGACAGAAATGGAGAGGCTCGTAAGAGTATCGAACATCGAACGATTATTCATTTCCAGTTAACGATCCGCTCATGCCATTGAATACCTTCCTCGAGCGATTTTCACTTCTTAATTGGTAGATCCTGCAGATTAAATAATACTCGAGTAGTGGAGGAGTTCGAGAGGAATTGCGGGTTGTTCCCGAAGGAGGAGGCGAAACGCTTCGATCGTTTTGTTTACGGGTGCATACCGTAAGTAAATCGCGTTTCTCTGCTCGAGTGACACGGGATCTTCCGCTTTCGAGCGAGCTTCTTCGACCGATTGTTCTTATCTGCCATCGTAAATCTCTCCCTCCCTCCCTGCCGCGGCGCGTCACGTATTTATCGTCGAGAAAGTAGCAAGGCAAACGGCCTTGATTCCGTCACGGTATACATCCACCACCGTATCGAGATTATTTAAATTTCGATCCACGGAACACCGCGCCACCGCTGGATTCCGCCATTTCGAATCGCACGAAGAAGGGAAGAAGCATTTGCATCCCGTCACGAGTAGTGGTAAGGCAGTATATTTTCTGCCTTCTGGGTGAAATATCGCGATTCCGGTAAATCTGTAATAGCCACGGTGACAAGCTGGAATTCAACAAGATGGAGGAATTTTTTTCTTTTCTTTTCTTTCCTTTTTTTAACCACGTGGAACACGATTCGTTTGATTTAGTCAAGGGATGTCGTGCCCTCGAATTACCATTTTCAACGTTATCTGTTATGCTGTTAAGTAGGTGACGTCGCAAAACGAGCATCTAGATAAGTAATCTCGCGGTTTTGTACGAGTAGGTGATGCACCCGTAACGTGATCCAACTTTGGTCGGCAATCGAAGGCGATCTTGCGACTTTCTCTGATGCGTTCTCTTTTATCCGATCCGAGAGAGGATCTCTCTCTCGAAATTAAACAAACTGAGAGAATTATTAAGGTAAAATAATAAGTTGCTTGTTCTCGAGGGGAAAACGATAGTTCAAGATATATCGCGCGTGGATATATTAACGCACGTGAAACAGCTCTCGTTTTCACTTTTTCTCGTTTTCACGTATACGTAACTAGTCCATTTACC